ACAGAAGAGGCTGGCTGTCATCAAAACTGTATTTTCCAGAAGTCCTTTAAACCTGGGCAATAAGCAAGCCAGTACCCTCGAATACCTCCCCACTCTCCGCAGTATCTGTAGGTCTGAGAAGCTTAAAGAACAAGGGAAGACTAAAAGAAGGTAAATTTGAGTTTTCCTACTCAATCTTACTACATTTAATTATAGAAGGTAGTTAAGGATTTTCATAAAATATTTTGTCAAATAATTCTAGGCAAGGAAGGTGGACATTTGTCTCGCAAAATAATAAAAGTGTTGCCTTATATTTGGAAGTAACTTTGTTCCTTTAACAATCTTTTTTACTTTTTTTTAATAGGTTCTTGCATTATCTTGAAGGGATTCATCTTGAAATACCCAGACAAACGATAAATGGTCTGTCTTTGGACTTCCCTTAAAATTGCCAACTCCAGAAATACTTTGTGCCTAATGGTGGTATTCTCACCATAAATTGTTTGGGGTTTTTTTAATTACCACATTATTGTACATTCAGAGCCATTTGTATATTAAATTTTTATAATTATTTAAAATAATGTATATATCTATTGTCATTATAGTGCTCTCCACAGCTGAAATGTGGGTTTGTTTGGTGCTTGTCCAGTGAGGGCATTCATAATATTAAATGCAAAACTATTCAGTGGGGACTTGTTGCTCTCTTCCTCTCCAATTTGTGGATCACATAGCAAGAAGTCCTTTTGTAACAACCACTTGTCCCAGCTTCCACAGCAAACTTGCTGTTTTCTGAGGAGACTGTTTGTTCAAACAAGTTTGTTTCTGAATTTGCAGTTAAAGTGATAAATAACTCCAGGTGGGAGGGGGCACAGAGAGGGTGCAACAAATCCTCCAGAGTCTAAATGACTGAAAGCAGCTCTTCACTTTGACACAGGGAGCAAAGTCCTTACAAAGCACTCTGCCTCAATGTACATATATCTGTATACATTCCTTTCATTGTTCACAGCTGTCAGATCTGCATGTTAATCTCCTAAAAAGGTGGAGAAATTATTACTGTAGCTCAACATGGTCTCAAGAGATTTAGGCAAGATTTTGTAAATAGCAATTATCCCAGCATTATTTTGGGTACAGAAATATTTAACTACTTCTAGTCTTGTATATTGTGTTCCATTCTTAAGCTTCTTTTTTTGTATTTGACAAGACTTCAGCCTGATTATTTGTAATTGAATCTGTTTTTATACAACAATAAATTTTTGAGACTTTGCTACAATCTCAATGTTTCTATTGCATGGAAGGTAAAAGTCCTGAAACATATATTTTAAAGTATTTTAAAACTGGAATTAGTTCAGCCATGTACTTTTCTGCCTTTTCTTTGCAGTTGGACTGTTCCTGTTCCTCAAACTGAGTCAGACTGCTGCCATGCAGTGGTGCTCCACTTACCTCAGTAAAAACAAGGAAGGCATTTCCTGGTTCTGGTCTCACCTTACATTTTCCATGTGTTAAAGATGTTCAGGAATTAGAAATATTTATGGAAACAGTAAATTATTTTAAACTTCTGCATTGTAAATCATCTTTATAGTTTACTCTTTCCATTGCCCGGAATTATCAAAAAAACAGTGGTGGCTGTTAAAATCTTCATGGCTTGATTTTTTTGTATCAACAGTCTATGCTTCTCCTGTATGATTTGTAAAAATAAATAACATTTTAAATTTTTTAAAATAATAAAGTAAAAGTGTATCTGTTCTCTGCTTTCTAAGGCCACTATCAGTCTAACTAGATTTCAGTGAGGACCTCCATAAACCAGAAACAAGTCCTATAAAGCAGTATTTTGGGAAATCCAGGGATTATTTGAAAGACCCAAGTGAGAAAGCAGTGAGAGACAATTTACCTTCTTTTTAAGTCAGCTCTGGTTTTAATAACTGCCTTAAAAGTTGTTTACAGAATCTGCTGTGGTGTCCACAAGGTAAGGTGGAATTCAAATATTTCCCTTCTTGACCAGATATTTACCACATGAAATCACCTCAGGCTCTGAATGAAGGATAATCCATGTGTGATAATTTGAGTTCTGATAAATTAGCACCTTTGGATTTTTATGCATCAGGTGTGAGTGAGCATCTTTTGTAAGGTAGAATAAAGCAAATTTCCAGGAGGGATGGGCTTGAGGAAGAGGGACCTGGGGCTGGTTTTGACTAACTCTGCTTAGAAGGAAATGTTTCACAAGCTCCATTCCAGTACTGTGAAATTTGCCTACTTTTGATGCAAAACATTTTCCTGTAATAGTTTGGGACCTGGTTAGTCCTTTATGCACTGCCCCTCCAGCTAACTTCTGTGTCTTGAAATCAGAAGTAAAAACAACCCTGGAGTTTCACAATGACTCTCCCATTCAAGCACAGTAGGCATACAGCAACTTTAAACCAAAACCAACAACTTTGTTCTTCTTGGGGAAATCTCAACCAAGTTTCAAGCTTTTTTTTCTCTTTATTGTCATTCCAATATTGCTTTCCAGAATGTAAATTAGGTGGCATTATTCTACCATCCCATGAATAATATAGAAAAAAGCAGTTATGGTTGCAAGAATGAGCCAAAGGCTTAGACTGTGTTAATGCTACTGCAGAATAGAAGTTGGAGGAGGGAAGGACCCATTCAAGAGCAAGACAATCTTAAGGCTTTGTGAAATATATCTATGTAAATAACTACTCCCCAAATGTCATACAAAATGTTCCTTTTATTCCACAGGAGTTGTAAGGACTCTACAAAAATTAAGCTAGCCAAAAGCTTTGGTCCTATGGCTTGCAAGATTACCTGGGGAAAATTAAATCCACGTTTACATTCCAGTATGCAACAGTTCCTAGAGGGAGAATGCTGAAAAGAGATTCTATGTGAGTAGCTGGACAGATATTTCAGATATTCTGCCATCTGTATTTCATAACTTCACAATAGTTACAAATAAATAAAAGGCATAATACTATTTAGTACCTGGAAGATGGAAAAAAAGGTTTCAGTACTTGGAACTGTTAATACATGTCTAGTGTAGTGTTTAGTCATCTACAAAATTACAGTGTTTTTACAAGATTGTAGATAAACTTCACTAAAGAAGCATTGTGTATACTACTGCACCATAGCAATGCAAATTAAATTTAACCTGAAACTAGAAAAATATTTAAATACCTCAATCTTTTTCTGAATTAATTGACCATCTTGAAAATCTTTGTCTCGAATTTTTCTCTTTGTCTTTTGTCTTAGATAAATAGAATATTTGTATTTTGTCTTAGATAAACAGAATATTAAGGCACGACTTTTTGGCATTTGCTTTATCATGGAAGAGGAACATTTTCAGTCGGGTTGAAATGCTGTATTGTCTCTGTGTTGAGCTGCGTGGGCAGAGTTTTTCTGGCCCTGCTTGGTGTCACCGAGCTCCCCCAGAGTCTGTGGGAGCAGAGCAGCGCTGGGAGAGCGGGGCTCGCCTGCTCCGGCGGTACCGGCGCTTTTTCGGTCCGTGTCTGGGGCGCCGCTGCCCTTCTGTTCCCCAGCAAGCTTTGTAAACTTTTACAGAGAGCTGGGGCTGAGGCAAACCTGGAGGGCGCGGACGAGCCCCCCTGGACACGGGCCCCTTAGCAATGGATGTCAGCGCAGAACCTCCGACTCTGCGGGAAAGCTGCGGGGGACCGGGCCGGGACCGGGACAGT